CGTGTATCTGGGGTCGGGTCACGGGGCAGCTTCGGTAGGGAGGGACCAGATGTCCCTCTCCCCAGCCACTTTGGTCAGCTCCTTCAGGGGATCCCCAAGGCGCTCCCAGGCCAGCCGAGAATCACAGTCCCTCCAGCGTGTTCTGGATCTCCCCCTGGTCCTGTCTGGAACACCTCACTAGGGAGACGTCCAGGAGGCATCCTAACCAGATGCCCGAGCCACCTCAACTCCTCTTGATGTGGAGGAGCAGCAGTCCACTATTTTGAAAGAACCTGAATTTATTTTTATAAAGAAACCAGATAAAAGAAAAAAATATGAGGATGAAAGGACAGAGCAGACTTCTAGTGGAATCTTAGATATTTTGATGTTTGCAACAAGATGTTGTATATGTTCTATTAGTCTGTTTTGGAGGGTGTGATCTCTTCTGCCATCATCTGCTGGGGTAATGGGGTAATTAGAGCTAATGACTTAAAAAAGCTCAAAAATCTAATTAAGAAGGCCAGCTCTGTTCTAAGAACTCCTCTAGAACCTCTGGAGTTTATTTCACAACAAAAAGAATTTATCATAAGGTGAAAACCATTAAGGACAACAATGAGCCTCCTCTTCAGAAGATTTTAAACAACAACAACAAAGTGTCTTCAGTCTGAGGATTCTCTAAATCTGTTCAAGACAGACTAATATAAAAGATCCTCCCTGCCTACAACATCTGAAATAAACCCTAGGAGTTACTAGAACATTTAATTTCATTTTGAGATTACTAAAGTATATTTAAATGGAATTCAACATAAAATATCTAGTAAATTATTTCAGATTTTTTTTTTCACAACAATATTATATAATTTGTCTTCTAGGATTTAACAATCAAAATCTGTTCTAGCTAAATCTTAGCTATGACACAGCTGATAACCTTGCCCTTTGACACCAATGAAAGTAATAAAAAAACTCCCCCTAGTACCAGCCACATGCTGCCAGCTGGTTTAGGTCCCATAGGGTCATTGACACACACCTCCTCTAAATCCCATGAGTGATACTTACACTCACACTGCAAATTTCCCCTGACATCAGCACTATCCTCTTCACCATTTGCACACACACACACACACAATGGCTACTCTTCTTTTGTTGTTGTTTTCAGAAAGCCTTAAATGTCCCATGTGTACTGAATGGCGTGCTTCTTTCTCCTTGCTGTGATGAAAGACCAACGACTTCATCTGCCCCCCCCCCAACCCAACCTTCGAGGCTCAGAAAGAGCACACACTCACCATCACTAACAGCTCAATACTTCTTACTCATTGATTTTCTGTGCGCCCTGCGCTGCAGTTTGTCTTTTAACACAAGGGACCCGCCTGCTGCAACACTATAACAGCTGTTTGTACTGTCTAAGGCGATGGATTGTAGTGTCAGTTTAAAACGAGGACAAAAACAAACAATTCTGAACCATGTCATCTCACATGAGTTTTACTAAGAGGAAAAAAAATATCTACGCTTAACCTCTAGTGGTTTGAATAATATCGTTATGACATATGACTGCACCATAAAAAAAACTAGTACTTTTTATTTTTATTTGAAAGTGCAGCCTTTATTTGTTGCAAGGAGAGAAATTAGATAGAAACACATGCTTTTCTTTTTAAATTTTTGGACCAGAGAGCAATATTAGACTCAACTGGTTGAGTTTTACTTTTTCCTATGATCAGTTCAAACCATTAGGATTGCTGATGTACAGTGTATTCCTGCAACTTTCTCTATGTATCATATAGATTGCATTCATGTTGAAAACTGACTTCTGGGCTGTTTGGAAACCTCAAACTTTCCAATATATATTTTTATTCCTTATGTTCAAGGGGATTTTTCCGACTTAATACTCTTTCCAACTTCTAAATACAAAAGTAGTTTTTTTTTCAGCGATAGACATGCAAATTATCACAAAATGTATCATACTATTCGTCAATAAGCAAAAAATACATTATTTAAGAAATTATTTTTCCATCAAAATGAACTTGCTGAGCATGTTTGTACATTTATCATTGCTAGTTTTGCTGTGGGTACTATTTTTCAACTGCTATTTCTTTGACATCATCTATAAGTACTTTGTTTACGTTACAAAATTTGATTAATATCATTAGCAAGTACTGTTAGGCAGTACTGCTGGACCACTGGACATTACTGGTGCTGTAAAATAGCCCATGCATGCAGAGTTTAAAGCCAATAAAAAAAAATACAAAGGCTGTGTGAATTAGGTAAAAAGTACCAGGTAGTATGAGTGATATTAAAGAGTTAAACATGCTTTATTATCCTTAATTTATATCTAAAAGTTTATAAAGGGTCAGATTTAAATTTTTTATATTGGCGATAACTTTTTGCGAATCACTTCAATGTTTAAATATTTCTAGTAATTTATATAGTAATTTAATAATAAAGTAAATAAAGTATAGTAATTTAATAATAAATAAATGTAATAGAGTTATTTAATAATAAAGCTTCGAATTAACATTATTGCTGAATTATTATAAAAATAAAATTATTATAAAAATAAAATTTTTCAAACTTTTGCTGAATATAGTCAAATGGATTCAATCTAAATCTTAACTTTATACAAGAAACTGTCCAATAATGTGTAAACAGAATTTAAACTGAAACTGTTTTTACTAGTGTAAGGTAGCAATAAAAAAAGAAAAAAATATTCCATCCCACTGTTTTGTTCCCTACATATTTTAATCACATCAGATTGTAATGACGCACCAGTAATGCAGCTATACTGCACCTCATATTTCAGTTCAGTCACATCTCACAGATATGTTGACTATTCATAATGAAAGGTGCAGACGGAGGGCTCCCAGGACGACTAAATAGACGGTGATGAAAGATGAGCGCAGTGCAGTGTCTTGTATTGAGTTATGTATAAAGATACACCAGTGAAAATGTGTACACACAAGTATTTTTTAAAAATAGACAATATTCTGAGTGAATTGATGAGTATATCATATAAACTTTATTGATTTAAGATTCTGGTTTTGCTTTGAAAAATGTATAAAAGGATACGATTCCTCAGGTTTACGTGGTATACCTACAGAGGTAAGTGTGCAGGACTCATTTGATCTTTGAATACCAAAGGAGGCTCATTACAATGTGCATTGTGACACCCCAGTTAATTCAAAAAAGAAAAATGAACAAGCAAATTTTCAGTGAGATGCATTTTTTTTAAATAAATTGATATAAGATGCAACCTGGGGAAATAAATCAGATATAGAAGAGACACAGCTATTACTGCTACTGTTCCTGTTAAAATAACAATATTAATTAATATATTAAAACAATAAATGATTTTCATTGAATTTTTAACATGGCTGACAGGTAAACAAAAAGCTTAGGGTTAAGGCACAGGTGGTTCTTCTCACACCCAGGCTACACTGACCCCAGTGAATTTTAATTAGTTACCCCTACACTATAACATTAATAATTACTCTAACTGACAAACAAGAAACTAAACATCATGTTAACAATGCAAACCAATTTCCTGGCAGCAGAAAATGCAAAGCAGATGTTCCATTTAATGAGAAAACATTACAAAATAACTAATTTCAAGCAATAAACATTGACCAGCAAATGTGGAAGCATTAATGGTCTTAAAATAAAAAAAATACATTGGTGGAAAAATGGTTAAGTATTGATTTTTTGTTTCTGATAAACATAACCAATGTCAGTGTAGATGTGAAAACACCTTTAGACTTTTTATTTGTAGTGTGTTTTTCAGGATTAAATGTTCTTCCTGTGAAATTATCAGTGCTTAGATTTTTTTATTTACATCTCTGCAGGTGGTGTCGTGTTGAACAGAAAATGGCAATCTACTGGAGTCTGCTGCTGGTGTCTCTGTTTGCCATCCAGGCTCTGTCACAAGGTACTGATACTGCTGCTAACCATGGCAGGAGGAGAAAGGCACAAACCTCAGCAGGAAGCAGTAATGCTTTACGCTATCCTGTTCAGGTTTTGCAGAGCCAAAGCTTTAGCAGGGATCGCAGGGGGCACGGTAGCCTGAGGACCCGTTCTGCTAAAAGTGGAGCTGGACTCCTCTCTCACAGGGCCCTACATCCTCTGCCCAGGCCCAGTGATGAGGAGGCAGGCCTGGAGGGTCTGAACCCAGTGAGAGTTGAAATGGGCCCAAGCAGGGAGAGAGCTCGACTGGGTTTAAAGAGTTCATCCCAGAATCAGGAGAACCAGCTTGTAGGAACACGCAAGGGAAGAGGATATGGAAATGGGAACAGACAGCCTTTTGAAAATAAGAGGCAAGGGAGTCGACGGGAGAAAGTCCGCCTCAAAAAAGGTGAGATTTGCACATGTTTAAGTCAATTCTTTAAACTGAACCATAAAAGCAATGGTTTCAAGTGTTGGAACAACAACTGAAGCTAAAGAGTGCATTCACACCTGTCACATTTGGTCTGTTTCAAACAGATCTGAGTTTGTTTCCCCCTTGTTGTTGACATTTTGTGCAGGTGTGAAAAATTACCTGGTCCAGAGTTTGTTTGGAGCAGACTGACACCACCTTAAAAAGTGGGTCACTCCCAAATGAACTCTGGGGCTGTTGCTTCAGGTGTGAATACATACTAAATGGAGAAAGCATGAGTCCCTTTGGACTTAACAAGCCACCGTAGTAATAAATCTAGTAGAAATTATACCTATTCCACTGTTGCTTAGCAGCACTGCTGCCAACAAGCGGTGGATCTTTCTTGGCTTGAAGGCTGCATTCTCCAACACTGTCACAAAATTATAAATATAAAAGTCTGCACTGAATAAACTGCCTTTATGCTATAATAACAGCATAAACATGCAAAACAGATGCGCTGTTTGCAGAATTCCTGTAGTAGTGGTATAACTCACTCTGACTCAAACAGTTGAGCTGTGTGGAGCTTTGCTTCAAATGCTCATTAAAAACATATATACATCTGTGGTTAATAATAAAATGTGTGTATTACAGGTTTGTGAAATTCAAACCAATTAAAAAGGAAAAATAAAGACATTTCATTTTATATTAAATTGGGTTTGCTTTAAATATAATTTCTTTATTGTCAACATCCAAGTTTTCTTAAATTTCCTTTCTTTATTGTGCTTGATCAACTGAAAATATGATCTCTTTGATAACAGTAACACATATGTTGAATTATTGAGGTGTTTTTGTTGGAAAACACAATGTAGTACAACATTTTTACTGTATACATATGGAAATTTGGGGATCACAAAGAATCCACAGTTGTGCAGCTGATTTATTTTACAGTCATGTTGTCATGTAGGGAATGCTGGACACTAAACAGCAACACTTTAGAAGCGCCCTTCAAATTGAGTTGCAAAAGTATGAAGCGGTAAAGGTGATTCATAACGAAACCGAGAAAAAAAAAATTGAATTAAACAGACCCCAAAAACAACAGGTATCAACCTGGACCAAATGTTTCTTAAAATGAATCTTAGAAAATAGAACATGAACCAAAAACCTTAAAGTAGGGAATGAAACAGGAAAAACGTACTGATATTGAAAAAGTTGACCAGTCTTGTTTTCTTTCATTTCTTCTCCTAAGGTATATTACCAGAAAAATTATGAACACGACTAAGAAAAGCTTGAGACATCTGATAGTTTTGGTGCGGTTTTGACATCACATTCTTTTGTGCATCTATCCGCATCTTATTTCTAAAGAAAACCCAAAATGTTTTACCTGTTTAGAATAATTCTAATTTGAAAAAAACTAACCATGAACTCAATTGTAGGCCAAGTGTACTTCAAAAACACCAATAACTCATAATCTGTCATTCAATTGGAACTCATAATTTTTACTTCTTACCTTGTTAAATTCGTCCTTTAAACTCCAGAACATATTAATATGCTGTTGTATTTCCCATAAAATAAAATCATCTCGTAATAATAAACCAAAGCTGTTTATTTTCCGTGGAAAAGTATAATATGAGGATAAAAAAACAATTTTTCATGTGCCTAATGACATATGTCCACCATTATAGGTTATCTACGTTATGTGAGCTTGTTAACCTTTCTGTTTTCTCCAAAAAAAATCAAGCAAAAGCACAGTTCTTAGTATCCTGAATACTTCAGAAATGTCCTCCCCAGATGCAAGGGTCACTGTAGTCTTTGTGTAACGGGAACTCATTTCCCAATCAAAATTTGATTAACATATTTTATTAACCAATAAGATAATCTTTGAAATGTGGGCTTGAAAGTGTTGGGACGGTCTGAATAGGCCGTCCCAACACTTTCAATCCTTATACTCATGTGTAGAGATTGAGAGTAAAAATAGCTGGATACTCAAAGAAAATGCATAGTCAAAATTCTAAAGGCTGAAAATTTGAAATATCCTAAAGGTGTTAAATGAACATTTGTTCAAAGCTACAGATAGTAATGTGTTTTTTTTATTTGCCGCCTTTGGACCTTATTTGGATCAATCTAGCCTGGACCTTTTCTACACACAAAAGGTCACAATTTAACAATTCTTATGACTAGGGATCTGAAATTTTACACAGTGGTTGTCCACAACAGGAACAATAAATGTAGTGAATTGGAGAGGTCAACTATGAACTATACCAAAGATATAAAATATTGAAAATTGCATTTTTTTTTGTTTTATGCAAAGGGAAGTACCGGTAATATATTTTTGGACATTTTTTAAGTTTCATAGCTCAAGTTGTGTAAATGTACACATATCTCCAGAAACTACATAATCTTGTAGGTTTTAAATCAGGCACGTCACAATCATGTGGGATTTGTAATATTATTTTTCTGGCAAATGACATTTGGGTATGAAATTCATTAGTGCAGAAGCTTTTAAAAAGCGTTACTTTCACAAAATCTTAGACCAAAGTAAATATTAAAAGATTTACTTTAACTTAAGTCTGCTGGTACACAAATTTGGGATGCTTAGCTATTTAAAACGTACTGGAGAAAAAACATCTCAGAGAAAAATATCTATATTAAAAAAGACGCACACACACACACACACACACATACAGGCACATAATCCAAAACTAGAATGGGTATTGTCAGACAAAAACAACAGTATAGCAATCAGAAAATGAAGTTGATTGTGTTAAAATACAAAACAAAGAATTGTTTTTCTTCCATCTTCTCAGGGTTTCCCTCAGGGCCTGACAGTAGCTCCGCATTCAAGGATGGAGACCAATATGAGGAACCTCCCCCTGCCTCAGCCTCACCATCAGCCTCCCTCTGGCTTGACGTGACCCCGCCCAGTGAACCCTCCTCCCCCCTTGTCAGCTTGTTTGACTCTGACTCTTTCATGGTTGCCAAGGTGACGAATGAGCATCCCCCAACGCTTCCCCCAGCCTCCACCAAACCCCAGGTAACCTCAACAAAACTGGAGTCCTTATTAAAGGCTGCGTCTGCTTTACCTCAGTGTGACTCCAGTATGCCAAGGAAATAAAGTGAAAATGGGGCCCCATTGCTGCAGTTATGCCGCTCCAAACCTCTTAGCTCATTTTAGAAAAGAGATTGTGAAGCTGAGTGCTGCTGGTGAAAAATGTCCTCCCGCAGTCCCACCTCTCTGGCTCTTGGTTTTAGTGTGTTTGAGAGCTATGACCAAATTTATGGTAATAAAACTATGCTGCAGGGTCTCTGAGTTCAAGAGCATGTCACTGTAACGACCTCTCTGCTCCTTTATAAAACATTCCCATTTTATTTTTACCTCCAGTTTTATGGCTTGTGATCTGGGAAACCGCGGGGGTGCAGAAACCAAAGCTGACCACCTCCCATATCCACCCAGATTTAGATATCCATGTCTTCAAGAAGATCAGTCATTTTCAGTAGATTTGGCCAGTGTGTAAAATAAAATATGAATAAAACAGCATCAATCATGTAGTTCAACTCACTGAACTAGTGGCAGACAACATAACACATATCCATCCATCCTTTTTCCATCACACTTATCCCAAGTGGGGTTGTGAGGAGGGCTAGTGCCTATCTCCAGCTTTCTATGCTGCTATAGGTGGGGTTCACCCTGGACAGGTCTCCAGTTCCTCTTGCAGAAAATAAAACATATCTACTCTTTCAAGCCGTTTCTCTTCAGATGTCTCTAGGAATCCACTGATTTCATTTTTTTTCTAACTTATTAAGGTTCCCTTCAACATTGATTATAATCCATAAACCTCACAGCCCCAAATCTATGCATATTTTATAAAGACAAAACAATATAGATGTGAAATAGAAGGGAAAATCAAAATTAATGAAATAAAAAAACAACAACAACAGGAACAAAATCCAAGAACAAAATAAAGGAAACCAAAAACCAGGGGAAAATACACACAAGGACCCAAGTAACGACAACAAACCAGCAAACAGTGTATGCTCATGGGTGGGCCATAAGTTACAGGTAAGTTATTTGATCTTGGACATACGTAAAGTGTAAGTTACTCATAAGTCGTGGCGTCTAGCTTATCCAAAACCTATGAGTAACTTGTGTATAATTTAGGTGTAACTCATCAAGAACTTATCCCAAACGCATATCAATGTATTTAACATGTTCCAGACGACCACTGAACGTGTTTCTAACTTACAGCTACCATATAATGGCATGTTGCCAGCATTTTGGTATAAAAAAGGGATTCACAGGAGGAAACTGTCACTTCTCCTCCAGACTTTATCCCCATCATTGGGTGAGTGTGATGGATCCTCCCTGCGTTCACGCTCACGACCAACAAACTTCCCAGCAGACATGATACTGAATTTGCTATGACTGCAAAACTGCTTTTTCTTTTTATTAATCTATTCTATTTTTTTAGTGGGTGGTAAACAGCAGCTAGGTTAATACCACTATCAAGTAAATCTTTTTATGCAGGCTGGGCGCCTTTGGGCGCATTGCTGCCCCCTAAGTACGCTGCAGTGATAAAATATGAAGAATTGAAAAAATACATATAGATACATATACATATAAAATACATATAGAAAGTTCCACATATGCCAGCATTTTAGAAGATTCTGGGACGTCAGGCATACGCTGGTAAATCATCAAGATGTGACAGGGGCTTAGGGAGAAAGGAGATTGTCACAACTGGAAACAGAAAGTAACTCGAAAAATGCAACCCATCTTAAACATAACACAAAATGGAAAAGAAATCAATGATCAACAAAACAGAATTACAAATAACTGAAAACTTAAAGAGAAGATCAAAGGGGGAGAACCATTACAATATCCAACAGCAGCCCACAGTCATCCAGACATTTCTTCATCATAGCCATCGCTATGTGCTACACTACAAAAAATACAAACAGCAACATCAAATTCATTTCTTTCAAATTTACATTTAGGAACTTTTAAGTGTCTCATCATTATCTAAAATACCAAGAAAGCAATTTGAAACAGAATTGAAGAAATCTATCTTTCACGTTTTTTTTTATTTAAAGATAACCCAAATAAAATGATTGCTTCTATGATTTCTTTAACAAGATAAAAACTCTTCCCAAACCAACCTGACCCTGTGTACATCTATATTAACCCAACATCTGACAACATGATATGTCAGGTTCAATGCCAAACAGGTGTTGTGTACTGACTTTTAATACATAAACTTAAAAGTCAGTTAAAACACTTAATGAGATTAAGTATTTGAACCATGTAAATGTAGCCCTTTTACTAACCAATTAACTGAGTGGGCTCTGCGTTTTATTAAGCTTGTTTACTTTAAAATTTATATCCTGCATCTACACACTATTAGAATTTAGCAATGCACAATGAACAAAAAGGAATCACAGACTAAATCATAACTGTACACAAGGTATAACGTGTTAACATGACCCGTCCCTTTATTTTGAAAAGTAAATAAACACAAATAGGGGTGAATAAAATTACTACCTTTAACCTCTTAAAACAAAAGAACACAAGTACTGTAGCAGGCAAGTAAACAACCAGAGTGGGTCAATCTGAATCAACAGTTCAATACTACTTAAAAAAAAACTTATAGATTAACCCTAAAGCTGGCAAACCCCAACTTAATCTTACATTGCAGGCCTTTTTTCCGATGCTTGTGATCCTGGAGACCAAACTCAGTGGTTGTTTCACTCAGAGTGTAAAGAAAAAAACAAAAGGGAGTACCTTGTACAAGATCAGTATAAAATCCTACTGAAACGCTGTGCACCGCTCAGTCCTCGTCTCCAACAGGGAACAAAAAAAGCAGGCTGTCATGGCGCCAACTCCAATTTGCAACCACGTGTGTTATCCTAACCTGGTCACAAACTATATCCCATTAGCGAGCTGCTAGAGCTGCGGTTAGAACACAAGCTTAACTTAACCACCTTTACCTACTGTGGGTTATCGTAGGGGATAGTGGATAGGGGATATTTAAATAGGCAAGGAAAATGACAACCAGACACAGGTGAACAACATTAGGGAGTGCCAAGGCGGATTAAAGAGGAATCCCTGGAAGTGATGAAGTCTGAAATGAGACCAGAAGTTAGTGCACCAAAACAAAAACAAAAAACTGCACCAGATACAAAATGGCAAAGGGAAAAAAAAAAGAAACATTATTCAGCAGAGCTGCATGTCACAAAAAAACATAAGTTACAGTAGAGGAAGGACATACATGCAATAAGTTATTAGAAGGGAAAATAGATTTTCTAAATGTTGAGGTAATGATAAAGAATTTTATTAATATAAACTTTATCAAAACATTTCTTTAACATATTCACCAGAGCTCCTAATCGAAACATTTAATGGCTGCTCAAAGCTGGAAAATTTAAAAATAATATGCCTTATATCTTGTTTCTTAGAACACTCAAAGCAAAATTGGAAATAAAGATTTGCAGAACAGAGATAACCTGCAAAATTATGATTTCTTAGCCATGTTTAAAACAGCAGCCAATGTCAATGGAACTAGCAAGATGTATTCTTGGTTTGAAGGGCGTAAATGCAAGGAACCTATAATAACAAACAATAACAGCATAACACATTTTGAATCCAAACAGTCATTTGTGGTATTGCAATTTCTTATACTGGGTAGTTTTATTTGAGGTAATGTACTCTGGTTTATTCAATAAAGATTTTTTCTTAAGGTTTGTCTTATTGTACAGAAATAAATTCAAACCAATATTTCCCTCATTTATTTTTTAGGATTCACACCCCAACTATAGAGTTCAAAGAAAAAGCAAAATTAAAGAAAAAAAGATAATACTGTAGAAGTCATAAGAAAAAAAAGAAAAAAAACAACTGCTTTACAGACTAAATAAGTTACAACCAGTGAGCCAAAAACCGTCCATTGTTTTGTGATACAGTTTCAGAAAAATCCTGGAAACAGCAAAAGAAATGGGTTTTTATTACATTTATCAAAACATAGAGAAACACCCACAGTATCAATTGATCATGGTATCTATAATGTAGTTATATAGTCTGTGATACATTTTAGTTCTTGAATTCTTGGAAATAAATTATTTTAAGTACCAGAAGTCTAGTTGAAAAAATGTGTAAAGTATTTTTAAGGAAACAATATAAATCTTTATATTTCCAGCTCAAGCAGATATAAACTGTCATGATTTCAAAGGGAGGAAAAAACTGCAGAGGAGGACATTAAAAACTCAAGATTGCTTTACAAAAGGGACAGAACTAATTATACATGAAAGCAGTGAATGAAAAAAATCACAATAAACCTTTGAGCAGTGGATGATAATGGTCCAACAGTAAATAAACAAAAGCATGAGTGCAAAGCTAAGGGAGATAAAAACTAAAAATGGATGTAAGTTTTAAATTTAACTGAGGATCATGTATAACTTCACAGATGGTTTGTTAACAAAACCGAGAGATCGGAGGAAAAAAGATTCAACATCAAGTACTTTTCAGGAAGATAATTCACTTATTTAAAGCCCATCACACTTGATAAAACATCCTCTTCCTCTAATAACCTACAGCCAGCATCAGTCTCCAGCTGTCTATATTAAAAACATATGAAGTATGCAGTTGTGGTTAATGATCTGCACCATCTCTGAAAGGTGTATTTATAAATAGCACAGACCCTGTTTAAAATGTATTTGTATGCTGGTCTTTGGGCAAACATTCTGCTACTAATCAATAACTTTCTAAAGCTTAGCTGCTATCTCTGCTGTCCCTTTGAGGGTAGTTTATGAATCACTGAAGCATTAGTGCTGCTAGTCACAACACAATGGCTTTAATAAGAACACTGGTGTGCATTTAATGCTGCTGGGTAAACAGTGAAGAAACTATCTTCAGTGTTTTATCTATACCCACTCAACATACCTGCCTGCCATTGTAATTACTATTTGTTATTCAATTTCTAAATGTAAGGTATAGCATTCTGTAGCTGACCAAAGATTAAACATGTTCATTTATATGTTGTCGTAGCCATTGGAAGTTATGCTTAAGGATAATGTTTCCTCTAAAATGATATACTAAATGTATACTGTAACATTGAGGTACATTATTAGTTAATATACAGTCACATTGCAGTTAATATACAGTCACATTGCAGTTTTTATTTTAGTTTGATTTTCAGAAGCCTGCACATGGACAAGGAGAGGTGATGCCAACGTTAGACATGGCGCTCTTTGACTGGACAGATTATGAAGACATGAAGCCTGTGAATGCATGGCCAACTTCAAGAAAGAAAGGTTTGTAATATGGCAGTAACGCATTTATATTTAGGCATTAAATTGGAAATCTATTCAGGTAGAAGTTTAAAATTTTATGGAACTGTGTTTTTTTTTGTCTGATTAAAATGTCACACCAAAAGATGCTCCATTCAATGAAAGGGAAACTCCAAAAGTTCACATAAATAACTTGAATCTTAGAAAAGTAATGATAGATAAAACTTATATGAAAAAGAAGAAATGGAAGTCAGACATTGCTCTTTATTTCATTCTAGCATCCTGTGATAATCTAGAGATTTCATTGCACCCTGCAGATTCAGAACACCCTGTACCAGAATAAAAAAAGCAGCCCCAGAACATTACGGAGCCTCCTCCATGTTTCACATTGGGAGCAGTGTTTTTTTCTTTTTGTTGATATGCTTTATTTTCCAATTTTTGAACATAGAGCTGATATGCCTCCGCAAAGAGTTTAGTTTTTGTCTCATCTGTTCATAGGACATTCTGTGATGACTCAGAATAGAGTGACCCAGCAATCAGACAGTGGGATAACTTTAAAAGCGTTAATTTAAGCAAGAAAGAGCTGTGGATCTGCAGTAGCAACGGCTAGTGCGTTTAAGTTAGGAACCTCTACAGGAGAGAAACACAGATTATTGACCATGATAATCTGACGGAAGATGATTATGAATGCGCGAGTAAATAACCTGGTTTTACAGTTCAGTCCGTGCCCAGAGAATGAGGATGATTCCAGCCAGTCGGTTGACAAGACACAGTGAACACTGCCAGAGAGTTCCAGACACTGAAGGCTTGAAGGCTGCAGAACTGGTAGGAGATGAGATGCAAGCAGATGACAGGAAAACAGGATAATCCAGAGGGTGAAGTGAAGAGGCAGATCCAGGTTTAGTGCACAGCAGAATCCATCAGAATCAGAAGAAAGGTCAGGCAAACAGATCAGACAGGGGCAGGAAGGCTCAAAGGTGCGAACACAGAAACGTGTAGGAGTCAGGCAATCAGAACACTATTAGAAACGCTAGAAAACTCTCACATTAGAGGCTGAAGAATAATCTGGTACTGTTGGCTGGGACCAGGTGAGCAGTAATGAGAAACCGGGCAGAGTTAGAGAGGTGAATGAAATTAGCAATTAAGACAGCCATCAGCGCCAAGATCATGACAAATTCTACCACAAGCTTTGTTGCTTGTCGACATGTAGTTTGATAGGTTCCAGTCTGGCTTTTTTTAGGATCTTTTTTGACTGGTTCCCTCCCTGGTCATCTCCTATTAAGTCCCTTTTGGCTCAAACAGTGATAGATGGTGTGATCTGACAACGATGCTCCTTAAGCTTGAAGTTCACCTTTAATCTTTTCAAGCCAGGCTTAGATTGTGCGTTTCTTTGCCCTTTTCGGGGCGACTTTCCAGTCTTGCGAGAATTTTCCGATCAGGCCAACTTTCGGCCTGATCGTGCGTCGTGTATTGTACAGGGGGTAACGAGGGACGATCAGCCTCTGACGACCACCTCCTGATCAGTAATCGTAAGGTCGGGAGACCGTCGTAGGCAAATCGGTCAGTGCACAAACAAGGATTCTTCTTTTTCTTCTTCTTCTTAGATGTAAACACAGAGGCAAATTGAGTTCTTTCTGTAAAATTGACTTACCGCAGTAGCCACGTCCCATGGATCATACATGTGAAACTGTAATCGCAGGAACATCTAGCATCTTGGAGATAGTCTTATATCCTTTATCATTTTCTTCTATAATTTGCTTGCTAATCTTAATTCCTCTGGTCCGTGTTTTGTGTGTGGTACACACCATGTCACCAAACAGCACAGTGACTAACTCTAGCCCTATATATAGACCTGCTGACAGATTACAGATCATAGACAACTGTGATGCTAATTAGTGAATGCACCATCATTAATCATGTCTCTTTGGTCACATATGGGATGCCATCATTTTTATCCAAGTCTGTTTCATAGGTTTATTTTTTTTTTTATATTTTGCTGAATAATTGTTGAAAAGCATTTTTTTTTATTTTCATTTGTTTATTTTCATATAATTTTTTATTTATTTTTTGTTTTTACATTTACATTTGTAAGTTATTTTTGTGACCATTGTAGGTTTTTCTTTCATTAAACAAAGTTTACCAGCAACTTTGTCAACCTGTGTATTGCCACATACACACAATATTCTGCAGGACAGTTTCAGTAGGATAACTGATAACTGAATGATACATTCAGATTACTGTGTGTCTGAAGGAAAACTTACAGTGGACATGTCACTATCAGCATTTTTTATGTGCAATTTGAGGTATCGCATTAGAGGAACTTCCCAAATTTTACAAAAATAATGTTCACTCTCTCTCGGGTGGTTTTTGACTTTTTCAAAAAAGAGTATATGCGCTAAAGAGATGCAAACACATTTACCAAACATGACTGAATGGCCTTCCTTTAGCAAGCTCTCAGATCACACTGCTCTCTTAACGTCTCCAGATGGCATGTACCATCACTAATACTAGCTGACATAATAAATGAAGACCAACTTGCCCAATTGCAACACAGTCATTAAAACCTCGGTCCATTATTAATCTGTGGTCCACATTAGTTTACTAGTTCTACTTTTTGTTTATTACAGCCAAGAGTAAAATAAACATATGATGACTTTACCCTTGGCCTTGCTTGATGAATTTTCTCCAATGCATGAAAACGTCTAATTTACAGTTTCTTTTTTTGACATCTTTTAAGTTCGCTCAAAATATGGGTAGAAACAGGACTGGTCACCTTAACGGTCTGCCTGCCAACTCTGCTAGAGCTATCTCCAATGACAAGCATCACTATGGTTGAGAACATTGCACAGCATGCGGTTGGCCCTTCCCCAAAACCAAGATCGAATGATTTCACAGCATCGGTGTATAAAGAGCTAGAATTTCGAATTGGTGCTTAAATGTCAGCCAAATCCATTTGCACAGGTACAGACAAAACCTTTCAATAAACCAAACATTACCCGCCACATATCTGACTCAATAACCATTTAAAACAACAAGTTTCACTAATTTCAGATGAAACTATTCACGCACTTGTGTTATATTAAACCGCACTTACAATATTCAACACTGTTCGGCACCATTTAGCTTTTTCCTCTGATCAGGGAGCCACCAGCTTTCTTGGATTCACAATGAATCATGGGATATCCAAGGATACACTGGTTGCGCATGTGCAAGTGAGCTGATGGTATGGATTGTGCTTGAGGTACGGCTCGAGTTGTGATACTCATAGCGAGGAGTCTTCCAATGCGAATATGTCTCGGCGTGGTGCTATGACGTAATTGTCTGATGAATCTGGCCTTCAGAGGACGTTAAAAAAAATTAGAAAAGGAAGAACACACCCCTAAAAATACAGACCCCTTTAACACTATACAATTGATGTAATTTGTATTTTGTAGTTACAGCAAGGAAATTTTGATATGTAAGTTTCAAATGAAATGCAATTTAAATTTATTTTGCTAAATTTTAAAGTTCTACTTATTTACACTCATATTTTCTCCCCCATTAGGTTTGACAGACCCTAAGTTTGACCCAACAAAACTTTTACATTGAAAGTATCTAAAATGATAAAAGTTGTAGTGAATATAAAGACAGTTTGAATTAAAATCAAATGTTGAAATATTTTTCCTGCTGCAGACAAGAGGCGGAGCAAAAACCTGAGCAGTGGAAATTTGACTGGAGACGCCGATGCAGTTGAGCCATGTGACCACCATCTGGACTGTCTGCCAGGTCAGTATAGACATTAGTAACTGCATGGTCAGAATGAATGGAATTTTTGAATTCACACATAATTTAGTTCAATCATATTCATCAATTTTAGCTGAATAAAAGTCTTTTAGATCAGACTTGTAATTACACTCAAATTGCCTTCAGCGATCCAGGCAGTTTTATTGTCAGGAAGATTAATTACATGTAATCATTTGTGTTTCTTGATCGTAAGGTTCTTGCTGTGACCTAAGACTACATGAGTGCAAACCTCACAATCGAGGCCTAAACAACAAATGCTATGATGACTGTATGTGTGAGGAAGGTAAGTAGACCCAAATACCAAGAAATGCGTGATTTTGTCTATTTGAATCAGTGCTTTTTATTTAATCTTGAATAGTTTCTGCCCAGTTAGTCTAGAAGTACATAACATTTGAAAGTGTGAAGAACGGGGGGCTGCATATTTTGGTTAATTATAGTGTGAAATAAATTAAAAAGTACTAAATAAAAGGATCTTACACTTATTTCGTTTTTTGTAAAAGTTTTAAGGTCATTTAAAAAAAGCATAAACTTGTTTTTCTTTTCTAATAGCTTCTACTTAGACATGCCAGCATGTTTCCAAATTGCTGAAAAATTGTAGTCACAAAGGAGAATAAAGAACAAATTACTGTTAATGCAGTCGAACACTGCCTGATTTATGTTTGAGCTATTATGCTTTATGAATTTATCTCATAGGATTTCGTTGCTATGCTAAATTTCATCGTAAGCGACGTGTGACCAGGAGGAGGGGCCGCTGTGTTGTGCCTGAGTCAGTCAGCAGTGACCAAGGAGGCTTCATCACCATATGACGATGGAAGAGGGTGAAGATGGGGGATGGGCATGAAGAATGAATATGTGACTACTATGACAAATAGAACAGGGCAGTCATGACACTTCTAAAGAAATAAGTGCTTAAAGGTGATCTGTTTCCGAATTTAGTTTGTTTAATCGAATCAGCCTGAAAATGTTAGCCGATTGGACACAGACATCTGGTAATTTATGCAAAGGTAGCAGGAAAAAGGAAAAATCATTTGTTAATGTTTCATAAAGGGATGATCTGTGCACCTCGTCCCAGCTGGTCAGCATCTTTAAGCACTGTTGTACTAAAAAAAGTGATTAAATAATGTGTTACTTTTTACAACACCCTTTACAAAATGTACCCAGTGCACTGGTTCTTTGAAAATGAGTTGCAGTTTTTATGTTGTTTGTTTTAAAAGGTGCACTCCGATCTGACTTGTTCCCAAGCTAAATTAGTCATTGTCATATGGTGGGTTTTTTTGCATTTGGTGTTGTCTTTGTTGTGCAAAATTCAAGTTTGTTGTTTGATTTAAATTCCTTCACAATCATTTTTTTTATTTGATAGTTTTTATGTGACTTACCTCTTTGAATACCTTCATTTAATTTCTTATGATTTTCACAGAAATAATTCAAGTAAAACTGGAATGTTTTTAAAGCTTAAACTCTTGGCATCATGTTGAGCAAAACATGAAGTTGTTTGAGGTTTACAAAAATAAGTAAAAATGATATTTCATTTTATTTGATATATTAATATAAGGCAGATCTGAATGGCCAGGATGACTTTAAAACAATGACATAGCTCAAAAGTTCCTAACGGTAGTATAGAAATCAATGATTCCTATTTACTTTATAACCTCATATCATTTGTATTTATTGTATGTTTTGATATATTTGTTTATAATTTGTGTTATTCTCTTTTCATGATTAAACATTTACTAAGAAACTTGATGTCTTGTATCTTTACCTATACTATAACATTGATAGCCCAAAACATTATTTCTTTAGCCACATATGCAAATGTAAAATATTAAATATGTTACAACCTGAATTTTTACATAAAAATGTATCAGATACAAGTAAAAAGAATTATCTCACAAATAATTTGGGTTTAAAGTATTTACCTCATTTCAACTTTGTAATTTTGGACATAGTATTTTCTGGCACAGTTTAGACAAAAACACATTAATGTTAAACATCTATATGAATATGTTTATAGCACAGTGCCTTTCGAAAGTTATACCTCTATAACTGTCAGAAAGGTCAACAGCATTTCTTTTAGCAACATAATGAGACAAAATGCATAACTGAGAGGACAAAATATTTTACATATCTAAAATTTTTTATGATTAAAATACAATATAAATACAACAAATTCATGAAAGTGAATAAGCATAATTAAAGATTTATGTCTTATTTTACAATTTTAAATACTGCTTATCTTTTTTTTTTTTGCTGTATTTTTATTTCACTTAATGGTTTGGGCATGCTTTTCTTCAGTACAGGAGATGGTTTAAAATTAATGGGAAGATGAATAGAACCAAATACGGGACCATTCTCGAAGAAAACCTGTTTGAGTCTTCAAAACACTGGAGACTTGGACGGAGATTTATCTTCCAACAAGACAAAGATCCAAGACATAAAGCAAAATCTACAATGAAATGTTTTCATAGATAAACATACCCAGGCCTTAGAATGGCCAAGTCCAGACCTGAATACAATCAAGAATCTGAGTGTTGTGACCATTTATGCTAAATTTGTTACTTCTACCAATTTAGTTTTTGTCTTTTGGTATATAAAATATATTTAAGTTAATTTATAACCAAAAATTTGTTAATAATTTTTTTATATTTGGAAGTGTTTGGAGTAAGTTGTTAATTGTTAGACCCTCCCATTAATTTGAGTGATCAAGAGCACACCAGGTGTTGGGGGATGGTGTGGTAAATGTCTGGTGTGGACAGGAGATTTAAAAAAATTAATTTGTTTTTTACAGTTTTTTTGGGAGCTTAAAACATTAAATTTAATTTCTACGTACTACGTTCCAAGACATTTTTAGTATTAATTTTTTTCTTTTCTTTTACAATAAGTCAAGCTGGAAGTGCATGTAAAAACAAAATCACCTGTTACCACCCACGGCCTTTGTTGGAAATTATTATATATTTTTTTTTTTGAACAGAAGGCTGCAACACTGTGGAAAGAACATACAACTGCCTTTCATAAATGCTTTTCATCCAACATCACTGAGCTCCAGTTGTTTTGCAAGGAAGAATGGGCAAAAATTTCTGTTTCTCGATGTGCAAAACTTATAGAAACATACCCTAAGTGACTTACAGTGTAATCGCAGCAAAAGGTGACACTACAAAAGTATTAACTAAAAGGTGTTGAATAATTTTGCACACCCAGTTTTTATATTTGTTACAAAATGTTTGCGTCCTGAAATGTGGCAAACACAAGAAAAGTTGAATACTATATCTAATTAGGTGATTACTGAAGGAGTTGTTTGCCAAGGATTTATTTAGGTTAATCAGATTGACACATTACCATGTTTTACTTTACTTCTATTTTGATATTAGTTACTTTGATATCACCTATGAAAAAAAATACTTTAATAGTCGAAAAAATAATGCTTCGGCATATTGAAAAAAATACAAGGGTGGATTGGGGATTAATATCTCTACATGGCAGTGGAAAATCGTGAGCAAGCAAGCAGTTGAACGTTATGTAGTCAAAGGTCTACAGTCTTCAATTAAAACACAATAACCCCAATTACTGTCATTAATTATAATAAATAATTAATGATAAGGACAACTTATCATTAAGTGATTTAATTATCTTTTTTACTTGCAATTGATAAACTTTGCTTTATTTTAAAAGCAGTTTCTTTAAGCATTTTTTACCAGCTAAAGATGATTTAATGTATACTTAGGTAAAACAGAGAGGGTATATATATTTCCTTTTTACGGGTAACTGCTCACCTTAAGTTACATTCAAAATGGTTTATGTGTATTGACAATTTAAGTAAGAATTTGAAATGTTTTTTTTTTTTTTTATACAACTTTAAGTTTTACCTAATTTAATAATTTCTTGATGTTAATTAAACTAAACAAAAAGGTCTGCTGTCATCAAGTGGCGGTTATCATAATTTGCATTACTCATTCCCAAAAAAAGCTAAAACTCTAATTCTGACTTTTTAAGTAATTTTCACAGCAGGAATATTCTACTTTTGTATTCGATGTGGTTTAAAATAGAAATCATGAGTCATAAACTGTTAGGGTTTCAGCGATGACCTGGGCCCTGGGGTCACAATGGATGCTGCAGAGACCATCTGTCATCCTTGCTGCACACAAAGAATCAACTCAGTTAAGGTAAACAGGACAGAGGCAGCAGCATTAGGGCAGATTGTGACTACAGGAAAAAGGTCAATAGAAGTGCAAAACACATTAGCATTTCAAATGTTTTATTGCTGATGTCCAGATTATTTATGTTAGGTTCAGGGTCAATCATTTCCACCAGTCACCTGTTAAAACGGACAATGTTACATTTTGCAAATATGGCACGCCATTATGTGGCAATTTATTTTAAAAAAATTTAAATATTACTTTAAATGTGGTGATTCTTATTCATGATTTTTTTAATAAATAAATGTTGCAATGATGTAGTGAAATAAAAAGCCGCCGTGTAATATAGCTCATCAACAATAATGTAGATATCGTTGAAAAGATCAAACTTTACAGGATTTAGATTAATTGTGAACTGAGGCCAAGTTCATCTAGAAAGGGGAAAACAAGATCTTCACATATTTTGATCAGTTTTGCAAAAAAAAAATTTAGTTTTATCTATTTTTATTTTAGCACAGCTAAAGGCAGCTTTTCTGTTGGCAGAGACAGAGGAAGAGGTCCAACAGGTTAAACATACAGCCAGAGCCAGAATGGAAGGATTTACTCCACGCATTTTCCTGGCCTACACCATGTTAGCCAATCATATCAGAGGAATATTATTAGTATTAGTAAATATGGAAATGGTAATATCCGTTGCAATAAATTTATTTCCTGCCACTTTCTTCCATCTGCTCTTCCATTAACTCTGAAGCCTTTAGCATATTTGGCACTGTAATTTCTGTCAGATGACAGCTTCCACAGCAGTAAGGCATCATCGCACAAGCTAAATATGGCTGCCAGAGAGTGTGTGGCATTTATACTCGAAAATTATTTGTGATATTAACATTTTGCACAATGATATTCTTATAATGACTTATTGTAACTGTCACATGCTATACAGCTGCAGCCAATTTTGTTTTAAATGCATATTTATGTTAAATCTTGAAAATGCTGAAAGTAAAATATATTTTCATTAATTTCCCAACTAGAAACTGCTCTTTGTTGGTCTAACACATAAATGTCCAATTAAACAGAGTTTTATTTATTTTTTTATTTTTATTTTTTTTTTTTTTGCATTCAGTCTACAAATGTCCATGGGTTTTAAGCATGTATTTTAATTCAGCAAATTGCAAATTGCTTTGCTCACACCATTAAAATAGCATTGTTTCCTTTTTTAATATGTCAATGTCATCCCTTGTACATTTGACTAAGTTACTTCCTGTTTAGGCTTCACACCAGGCCTAATTACCTAATTAGCAAACCTGAACAACATATTTCATTAAAGTCCTCTGTATAAACACCTATAGCATTTATGTTTAATTTGCTGAAGCCTGTCTTCTGCAAAAATGTAGAAGACTTTGTGAAAACCGTAGAAATGTGATTAGTCATTGTGAAGCTTCAAAGGAGTAGATGTAGTTGTTCCTTTTTTTCAATTTCAACATTAAAGCTCCATTCAATGATTTTATGAGTTGATTGAAAGTTAAATGCTATCATGTTGTGATCTAACATAGAAGCTGCACAAAACAGTAGGCTAAAACATTAACCAGCTAGAAAGATACATGTTTCCATTTGTCATTTTAACTTTTAGCTTCTACAGACATGCCAGATTCCTGATCATTTGTGACGAGCCCCTTCAAGGGACAGAAGTAGAGCTGTGACTGATGCTGATTCTCCTTAGGTCTACAGTGGAGGCAGCAGGAACAGGAGGGGAAGGTATCACATGGGAAACAGTCAGGCTGCTGTCACATGGCTTCTGTTTGCAACTTCAGTTGAAGTGGAGGAGGGGTTTACACAGAAGTTTGTGTAAGAGGAAGAACTGCAGCATTTTTCATGAGGCCTTTCAACAAGTTCAAACCGTGAAGCAGAAAGCAGGGAGGTGCTGCATTTGCCTAGAAAATTAACAAAAGCTATGGAAATCCCAGCAATAAACTTAAAGGTGAGTTTGCACATAATTGTCAATCATTTATTTCATTCACAGCTTGATTTTTGGGTATGTTTAATCCAACGACTGAAGTTAAATTTCATGTTTGATCATTCTCACTGGTAGTTCCTCTGTGTGGCAATTACTATCCTCCGATTTAGACACTGGTCACCGGCTGTAAAGTGTTTTGTTTGGCAAGGAAAGAATCATTAGGGAAAAATGAGACACTAACAACACCTTTTATATTTTCACTGGCAGATATTTTGATCCTTGCGTGAAGCAGTGGCCAAGGTAGAAAGAAACGTGAATATGATGATATCAAAGCTCTCAAGAAGAGGAATTTAATGTCATTATTTCTTTTTTTCTTAATCTTTCAAAAATAATCAAACTTGACAAAAAAATGAAAAAATATACAAACTGACCCAGATACACTTGATCCACATTTCCCATTTAGTCCTGGAATTTCTGGCTTGTTATTTTAGTTTCTATTGTTAAATACGTATGTAGTTTTGCTTTTAAACTTTGTAAGTGTGTTTTGTTGCTTATTATATTTGTTAAAAATATTTTTATTTTCTTAATTTGCATTACCCTAACCCTAATGCCGCTGCATTGT